GTGTCCCAAGTTTTTGCTTCTTTTCCTCCAAATATTTTTCCATGGTCTTTTCGTCATTTTCAGGGGTAAAGTCCCCCTTTTCGCTCTCCATGTGATAGGCCTCTCCCTTGAACTGCTGCGATTCTAGGTGTTGATGTAGAGGCCCAGAAGAAGATGGCGGAATCTTTTTGTCAGGCACCATTGGCTCCAAGCGCTGTCCATGGCCCGGACATACCGGGCTTTTCATGGAGATTGAAGACGCGCTGGATTTAAGGCTAGTGCTGCTGAGATCTTTCTTGGGTGCACGTTTAAAAGCCGCCGAGGCATAGTCTGGGTGATGTCTAAAGGCAAAGCGGCGTCTGTAGCAGGTTATAAAGCAGATGGACAAGGAGACGAGGAAAGCCAAACCACCAAAACAGATTCCCAGAATGGCACCCACGTGTACTGAAAATATATATATATTTAATCAACTTATTTTAGAAAATCTCAAAATGACTCTGACTAATTTAATAATATGTCACACATTATGTTTATTACAATTGGAGATATAATGGGCCCTACGTAAGTCAGCCATTATATGTTGTCCTTGTCATATTCGCCGGCCTCGATTCAGATGTTGTTTAAAATTCGCAGACTGTAAATATATATTTGAAAATACTGGTCTACAAAATTATTTTGAGCATCACTTTGGTATATGTATTGACTGCCCACTGACAGTTGAAATACAACATTCATTCAGGTACGGCTGCTTTCTTTAATGATATTAAAAGTTCATGTCACCTTCGAGGATTTTGAAAAAAAAGGTAAAAATGACTTCATGATTACTCATCTGAAAAATGGAAAATCTTTCTTGTTTGCTGTTTTATTGAATTCAGATATATAGTTCTAAGTGTTCATTGCAATGCTTTGCACGGTTTCTGTTTCGCGCGTGCTGAAGTGTGTGTTACTGCTATGTATTAGCGTCATTTCCGAGACACTCTCGCCTTTAATCAAACTAATGCCATATGGTGAAAAAAAAATCATAGATTAACTCCTCCACGTTACCCTTTATATTAACACATCTATAATATCGCTGAGTATTATTCAATAAAAACACTTTGTTAATAGGAATAAAGAGAGATGAAGGTAGTGTATTTATCGAGCGCTTGCTAGGATTACACAGCAAACACTGATTAAGAAAGCAATTCAAGTCCATCCCATGATAAATTTAAAGCGCCTCCGCTTAAGAGTTAACATATGGTGAAATACTAAAACATTCACTGTAGAAAGACTCTCTTTTTGTTTTGACATAAACACATAGCTCAGTTTTAATGGTAGTCGGTATCTGTATCTCTGTAAATCTACAGGAAATGGGCTTATTTTACATTTACTATGATTGATATTAATGAGATCTTTCACATTTTTAATTGGGTATGGTCTTAGTAAAAACGCTATTTCATTTACTTCTAATTATATTAACATTCTTGCAACAAACTTTTCCTGACGCTTTGACAGAGAACTAAGTTGCTTCCAAGCTCTCATAAGATCCTACCACAAATTATTGCTTACGATAGTCTGCTTCACCAACCAAAAAACGACACAGGAACAGCAAGATGTGGAAGTTGATCAAAATGTATAGAAAAGACAGTTATCTAGAAACCATGTTGTCTAAATTGAAACAATTTCACTGTAAGAATCTGGCTTACCTGGATGTTCGGGTATTCCTTCTTTTAGTCCCATTCTAAAACCCAAACAGTGTCATAGATTACGAGCTTTGGGATACTTAGGCCCGCACTGTCATGTTCAAGTCAACTCTGTGGCGCCGTGGATCGCTCATTAGGCGAACTGCGAAAATCGATGAAACCAGATGAACAGAATTTCGCTGCAGTGTGTAATATTCAACATCAGCGCACTAATCTAGTCTTGGCTAGACCAATCAATATCTCTGCTTTACAAGGCAATGCTTTTACTAGGTATATTTGATGTCGTGAAATATAGAAACTTTTAATGATACATATTTAATGTTTTTCACGTTTTGTCAAAACTACCGTAGAGACAGGAAGATAGATTTCCAGATGCCATGTAATAAGCCCGCGGCTTTCTTTCTCTAGAATTTCATAATACCCAACCAATTTAAAAGAATACTGACATTTCAGAAAGGCTCCCTCTTCTAGCACACATGTAAGTCGCACAGAGAGAATATATGATGAACGTGGCTTTAAAAAATCGAAAATAATTCATAATTTTATTTTGAAATTTGTAGAATCGTTTTGTCTCGTTTTTCACGTTTCTGATTTGACGTGATTGGAAAAAACATCAGTGAAGGTGTAACATTGTTGCTTTGCTTCTGACTCACGGTTAGTGTCTTGTTTCGAGAACAATCTACGTCATCCATTCATCAAACATCGGTATGCTGCGCATTTGTCGGCGTTCCAAACACTACATGATGTAAACAGGCATGGTTAAAAAGTTCAAAGATGGATTAAGGAACAATTAACGATGGGTGATAACGATAAACGGAGAAGGTGCGGCGCCGCTGATGCGAACGATCATCCGGATATTATCATTATTGTTATATATGACGAGCAAAACGCCGATTTTCAGAACTTAAGACCACTTATTCTTCCGATGTTTAAGTGGCATAAACCACCTCTCGGTTTGTGTTTACCACCCACACACTGTAAATATTAAAGAGGATAAACTATTCTGTTTGGCCTTCGTAAATTGAAATCCATCAAGAGCTTTTAAGATATCCATTACGCCATGGTTGAATCTTGTATATGCATCTACAGGGACCGATATCATAAGTCATAATAAATCGGACTGTATATCTGTTCTATTTGCTCTTTCCAGCGTCTCTTTCCGTCGGCTTTTATTTATTTATTCATTTTTTTTTGTCATTGAGACATACTGAGCAACCAATACATAAGATTTATAACCTAGTTTTCATCTAAATTTCATTTATATCAATTCACATCAAACATTATAATTCTTAGGACCCAGTATCTTTCGACCAAGATATGTGTTGCTGATAAAGCAGTCCGTTCATCAGACTTACTGTTCGGGCATATTTTAACGAGGCCTGTTGATAAAATGTTCAGTGAACAATTATTGTCTGCAAAAAAGGGCAATCCAATAGAAATGATATATAATGCAATCACACTGAAATAAGAGAAATCATATTGGCCCTTATTTTGGAGGCTTCTAGTGATCCCAGTCCCATCGGAGTGAATTTTTGCATTTCGGCTCCATTTTCGTTTACAAATGTAAATCGTTTTTCCTCCCACTGTAACTGACTTCATTAAGTGAGGGGTATCGTTTTTCGATGCAAAAAAATTGATGCTAGATCTGAGGCAAAGAGGCGTTTGTGTAGTCGCAGAAATTCTGAGAGTGATTTTCTCGTGCATTATCGATATGTTCCAGGGGGGTTGTTTCTTTAATGTATTTTATACCATGTTTCGGGCCGGTGACAATCAGTTTACTAACCTTAATATTTTTTCATTAGGATTTCACTTTAAATTCCCTATGAACGATTTGTCGACTTATGGTCGGCTATCAACAACCATTCCATTTTAGATATACGGGGAAAATAATAGGTGCAACAAAAGGTTTTCATCGCGCTTTTGTTCTTTTTTCCTTGCCAATGCCCACTTCACCCTGTTCATTCATTCATTCATGACACAGTGTCGCTTAATGTCTAGATCACCTGTACACCATAATAATAGTAGTAATCATAATAAAAATAGTCTCGATTTTCGATCATTTTTCACAACTTACCCATTGCATTATATAATCTTTTAAATGCGTTTTTAGAAATACAATTGCTATAAATTACGCAAATTATGAAAACACGTATGTCTTTAAACCTAAATCTTTTCTTCTTTCTCATTCATTTTTATTTTTATTTTGTCCTCAAAAGTGCATAAACAGATATTATATTCAAGTATAGTTCTTTCACGATAGATAAGAGTGATTTACCCTGGTTTTTTCCACACAAAATGGGGTTTTATTGTCATCATTTTATTCACAGGTCGACTCATGACGCAAATACATGTTACATCTTTATAAAAATGACTTGCTACACATGCTCAAATTTAACATTTTCTTCTAACTGAAAATGCAAGGAATACAGGTAAGCCAAGAGGGATCTTACTACCGTTGAACTAAAGAGCAACGGTTTTGGAACTTGATAGAAAGATGATCGATGGAAAACTTCAAAATGGTCCAAGACGCCAGAAATTTGTTACATGATTTATTTACTTTTCCATAGCAGTATCCAACAGACGGTCCCCCGGGTAAATGGAGTTCTTTCTTTTGTGTCAAGCCTAAGCCAGCTTTGTGATTGATTGAGCTGTAAATGATGCAAGTATACCATTGAAGTATGTTAAGTGCGTTAGTTGAAAATGGTAAAGAAAACAAAGTAAAATTCATGATAGCGCACGAACGTTTAAAATGTCGTTGGAAGGCTATGAATGTTATCCTTGGTAGGGCCTACTGGAAAAGATTTTTTTAAAACGGGACGAAAATCCTAGAAGAGGAAAAGGAAAAAAAATGTTGAGATGACACTATTCATTTAAGAGATGTACCAGTTGAGCAGTGGGCTACATCCCAATTTCGTTAAAAAATTATCTTATTCTGTTTCCCCGCTTTAAATCGTATTTTCCTCATACACGTCTTTGATTCAGTGTTTATTTTCTGACTATTTAAATAGGAAATATAGTCGTCGGGTTATTTCGAGTTATTTTTTCGTTTTAAAAGCCTGGATTGGGAAAAATGATAGCTTTGCAGGATATGTAGACCAAGAAAATCTAGGCAGTTTTAAACAGGTAGTGCCCTCTGACGTTAAAAGCCTCCCTTACCGTCAGATAGAACTGAAATGCAATTTAGATCAGCTAAGATAACGATTTATTTCTAGTCTGTTCAATTCATTCGTGTACTGATACATACACTTTATGACCTTGTACATTGCAATGTATAATGTGTGACACTAACGTTTATTGTTACATTGGGATAAGTGGCAGCTTATCTTGGGTGAAGCGCCATCTAAAGGTGGGACACAGTGTTGATCAAAATGGCGGATCTGTCTGGCACGGACGATACAAGTTTGGATTTAAATACAACCCAAGAGTCACAAGATGAACAACCCAGTCAAAATGGAGACCAACCCAAAGAAAGGAAAAGGTAATACACCTGCTGTAGTTATATTTAAGACAGTTAAAGCTGACTTGATAACAATAAAAAGCAACTGGATTTTTGAAAAACCACGTGGGGCCGGTCGACATTTAGTGTTGATCTTTTGTTTCATTCTGTTAGGGTTTCCCATTCTGAAATCGTGTGAGGGGAAAGTCTTGTTTCTCTTTTAAGTGCAGGTGAACTTTGGTTGGTGTCTGAACTGATTTAAGTAGTTTCATTTGCTCGAAATAACTACTTTTATGACTATTTTCGATTTTTGCTTTGTGTAGTTACACAGAAGGCGTTGACACAAAAAACTGATATCGAAACTACTGTTATCATTTGATTTAGTGGACCACTATATAAATGTTAACTGTGGTTATTCCATTTACTGGACCACTATGTGTATATATAAAAGTAAACTTAAGCTGGTCAAAGATTAAAAATTTTGTGAAAAAGTTGAAGCCAAGATTTCACCTCAAATATTAAAAAAAAAACTTTCTATTGGGTTTCCCATTTGGAAATTGTGTGAAAAGAAATTCTTGTTCCTTCTTCTGGCATCAAGTAGAATACAGTAAAGCTGATGATTGTAGGAGTATGTTGGAAACAAGTGGGAGCTGCTAATCTGATTGCATTCAGCACAAGTCCCAGTGGAGTTTGAACTACCTAGTATGATACTTTCATCGTGAACCAGACTTCGACTATACTCTCTAGTAAGCATAAGAATAAACTGAATTCCTTCAGTGATTAAGGCTGGTCATATGAGCTTATTCCTTAAGATACTATTTAAATTGCTTAAATTACAGATCAAGATCTCCTGTAGACCGTGATAAGAAAAGAGAAAGATCAAGCTCAGGTACACGTGAGCCAAAGTCGCGGCGAAGGAGTAGAGCTGGTGCAGGTGGAAAGGAAGACAAGAGAGTTCTTATCACAAACATTCCATTTGAACTGACTTGGCAGAAGTTGAAAGATCTTATTCGGGAGAAGTGTAAGTTCTGTCTTTGTTGCTCAAAAATTCAGCACAAGCAACTATTCCACAAAAGCAATTTATTTCTGAAGATCTATAGGTTTGAGTTACTGTGAAAAGTCTTAGATATCTGATTTTCATTAAAATTATGCTATTATTTAAGTCAATCACTTAACTAATGCATATGTCAAGAAGTGCACATCAGATTAATTTTTTTCTTTCATTTTTATTATTATTATTATTTTTTTTTTTTTTTTGAAAATTTGTAGTGGGAGATAGTGCTGTGAAAAGAGTAGAGATTTTCTCAGATGAAAATGGGAAGTCCAAGGGAGCTGGGTAAGTAATACTCCTGTCATTTTCACCATTGTAATCTTAAACTTTTTTTACAATTTCATGTGTACAAATTATTGTGTACATAAATCATCAATTTTTAACTTTTGAATAATTAAATTTCATAGATTATTTATTTTAGATAATTTTAACCATTATGTTAGGCTGGCAGATATGCGTGACTATGACATGGCCACGAAAGCTATTGAGGTATTGAACAAGCATGTTGTTAGTGGGAGGAAAATCATTGTCCGAGAGGTCAGTAACTTCTCACTTACACAAAAAGTTAACAGATAAAGACAATTTAATCAGGCAATATATGGAGTGTTACAAGGACTTTTTTGTTTGTTCAGTATTATTTCTAGGTGCAAAAGATATGTACTGTAATTTTTATCAATAAGCCAGTTCTTGTAATTTGGATGATGTTATTTTCTGTCTTAAATTGAAAAATGATGTTGTTTTAGCTTACTGAGAAAGACATCCGTCGCTACATGCCCTCTCAGATGGGAGTTGGGAACATGGGCGGTGGAGGAATGGGAGGAGGAGGAGGAGGAGGAATACTGGGAGGAGGAATGGGAATGGGTGGGGGTATGGGAGGAGACATGATGGGAGCGGGAAATGCTGTTAACCCCCAGTTGTTGCAGTCCCTTGGGATCGAAGGTCCTGTTACCAACTCAGTATTTGTTGCCAATGTAAGTATGTGAAAATAGAGTCAAGCAGATTGTATCTGTATGTTTTTATTTTTTAAAAGTTGTAAAATTCTTTTACATTGGGTGCAAAAGTATTCATTAAAAATAGTGATGTGATAATGAAAATTTGTTGAATCACATGTAAAACTGTTGGAATAATATGTCAACTTTTGTATCAGTTTTTTAATTATAGGAAAAAGATTAATTACATTTGAGTGTGCAATCAGGAAAAGTCTTAATACTATAATGAAAAACTACTAAAAAAAGAATACAATTTACATGGAAATTTGTTGAAATAATAATAAAATAAAAATTTTTGTTTTGTAGCTTGACTTCAGGGTGACATGGAAGAAACTAAAAGAGATATTTCAGATGGCTGGCAATGTGGTCAGGGCAGAGATCAAGGAGGATAAGGACGGGAAAAGCCGCGGCATGGGAACAGTGCAGTTTGAACTACCTTTTGAAGCAGTGCAGGCTATTTGTATCCTTTTCAATGTAGACTATGAAAAAATAAGTTATTTACATTGCAACAATGTGGAAGAGGGCTGTTCTTAATTTTGATAGAATTACAGTTCACATTTGAAATGGAAGTAATAATGCCTCAGCCTTATCAGGAAGCCATCTTCTGATGAGCTGTCACTGAAGTCCAACTCCAGCATGAGATTTAATGATAACTCCATATTAATTTAAATTGATGATCTGGAATAATCCTACATTCACATCACTTACATTTTGCTACTTAGTGAGTTTTTTATTCCCAAAAATTTTTGACTTTTCATGTAAGCCAATGTTGTGATTCCTTAACTTTCACTTAGCTATGTTTAATGGTCAAACTCTTTATGACCGAGCTATGACAGTTAGAATGGATAAATTGAATGATTCCATTCCTCCACAACAGCCAAGGCTGCCAAGTAAGTATACCTGGATGCTCAGGATGCCCCTATATACCAGGTTACTTTTATAAGAGATTGTTTGCTGTTAGCACTGTACTACTTAAGAAGATAGAGGACTGTTGATTCACAATTTAGTAAAAATTAAGGATTGGACAGAAATAATGATACTTTCCAGTCTTGTTATGTCTTGAGGTATGTCAGTAAGAGAAGTATTTTGTTTTACCAGGTGGTTTGAAGGGCATTGGTATGGGTCTAGGCATGGGAGGAGCTCCAATACATGGACAAGGGGGACAGATGGGAAGTAAGTAAAGATTATCTCAATTATTATATTTTACTATATTTTATTTTAAGAGTTTTGATATGTTTTTTTTTTCTTTTTAATTTTCTTGGCCAGTTATTTCTAGTGAAATCAAAACAAAGTGATTATGTCCTTAGCGTGTGTCCCATCAGACCTTTCTGAGCTTTTGTTTTAAACTTTTCTTGTCTCCCAATTTTCTTTTTGCTTTTAGTTCAATTTTTCTACACTGATGTGGAGAATAGGCCTCGAACTGCAGCTTTTGTGTGATTGAGCAATGCAGAATTAACTCGTAATTTTTCATATGATTACAACTATTTGGTGTAAATATTTTTGAAACTTTTTTTCAGACATGGGTATGGGAGGAATGGGATCTGGAATGGGAAGTGGAATGGGCAACATGGGTAAGTGATCAATTTAAGACAGTTTTAGTTCTACTTGTTCTTTGTTTACTGTTGAAAACTGAATTTTTTGTGTTTCCCCCTTGAACCCAGCTTGAAATTTATATTTATATCAGCCACACAGCTGTTTCACAAAAAAATTTACAATAATTGTTATTACTTTCTTTTGATCCAGGTGGCATGGGCAATATGGGCATGGGAGGCGGCATGGGCAACATGGGTGGAGGAAACATGGGCATGGGCTCTGGGATGGGCAATATGGGAGGAATGGGGGGTGGTATGAGTAACATGGGAGGAGGAGGAGGCATGGGCAACATGGGAGGTGGCATGGGGAGCGGCATGGGCATGTCTGGAGGTATGGGGGGTATGGGGATGAGCAACATGGGCATGGGCAGTGGGATGGGGGGTAACATGAACAACATGGGGATGGGAGGTGATATAGGTGGAATGGGCAACATGGGCAGTGGCATGGGTGGTCTGTCAGACATGATTGGAATGGGTGGTGGGTCCAGTGGGTTAGGAGACAGCATGGGCTCTGTGATGTCAGGCATGGGTGGATCCGGCAGTTACATGGGCAGCAGTGGGCTTGGGGACAGTGGACGTTATGGCAGCAGAGATGGTGGGCGGCGTGACCGAAGCCGTGACAGAGACCGTGGGGACAGAAGAGGCGACAGAGGCCGGGATTATGGCCGAGATCGAGATGGGAGAGGAGATGGAGGGAGCAGGGTGAGAGCTGGACAGGAAGGATGCTCAGTTATTGTCAGAAATGTGAGTATTCTGACTTACATAAATTAATTAACCAATCTCTTTTTAGTTCAGATCTTGAATTTGTAATTACTGGTGCACAAACAAATTTCTCAAAGTTAATGAGTGTAATTTTAATGAGTTTAAATTATAAATGGTTGATGTATCTTAAGGATTGGTTTAATTGCTTGTTTGTTTCTTTTTTATAAGCTGCCTTTTAGCGTTGACTGGCAACAGTTGAAAGAACGATTCAGAGATGTTGGTAAGTATTGGTAGTTTAACATATATGTAAATTAATTTAAAGGGATAATAACTTCATATGGGGTCTATATTTCACAATAAAAACATTGTGAATAAATCATAGAAATATAATATATTCTGTTTTACGACAAAAACAGGAGTTATAGCTATTATTCTGATATCTGAACTAGCCTTCAGACCACGTGACCTCCATTGATGGCTATACTCTGTTATAATCTCTTAAGAGATTTTAACAAAAAACCAAACTTTTTAGAAAAAAAAAAACCAGGGACTTACTTTGAATGTAAAAATGGATTCATTAACCATTGGTAAGCATGGGAAAATTATTGTTTACTCCAGGAAAATTCATTTTTTGGCCAAAACAAAGAGTTATTATCCCTTTAAATGAAATTTGAAAAGTAAACTATGATTTAAGCAGTTCATTTTTTTTTTTGTCCCATATTGATAGCCAGTATTGCATGCGTTACAAAGGTGTCATGATAATTAGCTAGAAAGTGGAAAATATTATAGATTATGATAACTTATTTCTTCATGTGTTATAGGTGATGTCAAGTTTGCAGAGATCAAGATGGACAACGGCAAGTCCAAGGGCTGGGGTACAGTCCGCTTCAACTCGCCCACAGACGCTTCGAGGGCAGTCAGTATCCTTACAGTAAACATAGATCTCTCACATTTGATGCTGTTATTATTTAGACTTTTAGTTCCGTCACAGGGTTTGTTTTATTGAAGAATAACATAACAGTGTGATAGAAGTTTTCCTTGATAATTGCCCAGATTTGATGGATGGAGCCCTTGTTGAAGGACGTGAAATCTCGGTCCAAGTCTATGTTTAAGATGGTAGTGTATATAAAAGAGACTGAACTGATAATTGGCTTTGCTTTGTCGGATCCCGACTTCACTTGATCCACTGGTTGTTGTTAGAATAGTTTTATTTTGTTCAGGTCCCTCTTGGTCCAGTGGTTTTGAGGAAGCCATCTTTGGAGACTATTTGGTTTTATTTTAAAGACAGAACCTAGAGTGGTCTAGATGTCAAATATCCAGTCGTCATGTTGAACTTAGAAGTTATGAAAGGACAGACATTTGAAATATACACCAGATCTTTTGGAAGCTGGTTCCTCTGTATCGGAGGAATTAGATAGTGTATTCAAGATGCTGTAATTTCCTGGCACAAACTGGTGATTTTAATTATTTTACGTTGTACAGAAATGTGTGTCACATATATAGAGAATAAAGCTTTACATTATATATAAGTTCTTATCAAGTTGTTGGCAGTTGTAGTGAGTAGTGCCTTGTATTGGACCAGTTTGCAAAGTCCATTTTCATGTTTCTGATCTTTCACCATCTTGTTTTGGGTTGTGTGTGTTTGACAAAGCTTTGCGTAAATTGGATTGGCTTCATTTTTAAAGCCCAATCCAAGATAATGACTTTTCTCTTCCTGAAATGTTTAGCGCCATTCAGTTTGAGTGGGGGCTAGAACTACAGTTGTTTGATGAAATGGCAACCTTGGTCATTTGTATGTTTTGGAAGGTAACAGGAGTTTTTTTTTTTTTTTCTATTGCATTGACAAGTCTGTCATCAAGGATGGGTTGAAAAAAGTTCCATTACTGCCCCACTTGCTGCACCAATGTATGCCCACATGAAAAGTGGTTGTTATCACTGAAGAGTTAACTTGAAATCTTAACTTGGACAATATAAAATGATCATCAAAATGAAGAAGCTTGACCAGTTGTACAAGCAAGAAAATGTCGATAGCAGCAACATTGGTTATTTCCAAAGGTCTGTCGACTTATTTTGATGTTATTTGACACCCTTTGGTTTTGCTGAGAATTCTCTGCTAACAGTGGGGTGGTGAAAGAAGACTGCAGTTTCAGTCTCCAAGGTTTATAAACTCTTTGGTGTTTGAAGTAAACCAGAACTGGATACGTGAATGAAAATGTTCCAAAGTGTTCCGAGTTGTGATAGTTTTTATATTACCAGTGTTTTGCTACACTTTAAAAAAGACAGTTCCTGTACCTCTGTCATAGTTTTCAGTATTTTCAGTGTAACAGTTCTTTTTTTTTCATTATTTAGATGTCTTTGACTATTGAAATGATTTTGTATCCTAATTAATATGCTTTCTTGCTGTTACATCTTTGTGCATTGTTTTGACCTTGAGTGTTCATAATGTTTTTACTGTTTGTTAGCACAGTTTAAATAACAATTAAGTTTCATTTTAATATGGACACTCACTTCAGTGAATACATGGCAGCTCAACTGCTTTTTGCTAAAGGAATAAGCCCATTACTTTGTCTTTGATTATTTTCTTATCAGGCTTATGTTTGTAATTTTGACAGTTAAAAGACCAAAGTAGGTGCTTGTAGGAGACCAGATTGTTCTTACTGTTGATAATTTACTTTATATATCAGAGAAGATGGATTGCTTTTTGACAAGAGAGTGGTATACTGTTTTTGTAATCTAAGGAAGTTCCGTAATTTCACTTGTACTATTAATTTTCAGATGTGAATGGCACGAAGTGCTGAAATTTGCTCAATGGTTGTAGCATAGCGCACATGGAGCAGTTTTTATGATTTATGTTGAAACATTGTTGGGGATAAGCTCTGTTAACATTTGTATACAGTTTTCACACAAGTTGTCAGGAATTATCTTCACCCGGAAATTTATTTTTATCACTGAATTTGTAATCTGACTGATTGAGTGTATTATGTTTAATTATGTGACTTTTTATCAGAGTATGTTGCAAGTACAAGGTGGAAGAAATTGTGCCTTTGAAAATGGGGCCCCCAGCAGTGTTAATTGAATGAAAAGATTTTCATCAGTAGATCGGAAAGCTGTCACCTGGTTCAAGAACATTGTATGTCTTGCTGTGTGCTGGTCCAGATTCCTTTTAGGCTCCTCATGGCATAGATACAGGTCTTCCATATTAATCAGCATATGCTGAGTGGTGAGGTGCATGCTACCATTGGCGGTTTAAATATTTTAAGACCATTCCTGTCCTGTATTAGACAACAGTGTGTCCAGTTTCAAGGAGGGTCAGTGGATGGAGAGTCCAGTGTGGTCATGTCCAGCTCTGGTTTGTATGTCCACTACCTTGGTCATCTTTCTCTGTGTTAAAGTGTTGTAAATCGCCTCCTAGTTGCAGTTCATGGTAAGGAAGTGGGTAAATATGGCAAGTTTGGTTTTTTTATTTACACATATTGCTAGGCTGAAATATATTGTTGGCAAGCTTTTCTCAATGTTTATCCAGATTTGGGCTATTGACATGTTTCTGTTACAATATTTTGATTTTGAGGTTTCATGGAAAAACCCATTCCTGCAGTTACAGTTCATTGTGGTTTCTTGAATTTGTCTGGATGTGTAACGTTTCAAAATGTCCGATTGTATTTGGCCTCCTGTACAATTTATAAAAAAATTAATTAATATTAGATGCAAAGTATTTTTAAAAAGAAACTTCAAATAATCAAGAAGGTGGCATAGATTGAAGTGGCTGAAAATGTATTTTTTCTATTTTGCCAGGAAAGCAAGTAAGGATGATAACAGCGGATAAACCATTGGTTTAAAATTCACATACTCTGCAGTGCCGAAATTGGTAAGTTTAAAAAAAAAATTCTGTAAATATTTCAGATGAGCAATCAAGGTTCCTGCAAAAAGACTACTTAAAAGCCGTCTGCTACTGCAGTAGGAGTTTGTTTCTGAATGAGTTGCTGCATGGTAGCTGTTGCTTATCATGTAGAAGTTGTACTTTATGTACTTCAGTTTATTGCAGGGCATCCAGTTTTGGTAAAACATGAACATTAGGTAGGGACTTTGTGATTGCATGAGGCAGTTTAAACATTGGCAGATCTCTCAAACTTCACATCATTCTGCTCAAATATTAACTTAAAGGGTGAACTTTGCTATGAAATATAATTATTTATTTAAGTTTTATGTTTAAACAAATTTTTATTTTCAGCAGTTTCCAGACCAAGAAAGGGAGATGAAATAACTTGGCTGTTGTACAAAGAGATGTGAAAGGTTACAGAATTAGATTCTCTTCCTGGATTAAACAGATGTTTGCAGCATAAGATCCTGACATTGTGCGTCTTACATTCATACAAATCACATGTGAATAAATGTTAATAAGCCTTGTAAGTCATATATAAGTTGTATACAATAATCTTCAGCATGTTAAAAGTGGCATCCACTCTTGCTTCTACCCAATATATCGTAGGCATCTTGCCCACTTGTTTCTGCTACATGAAGTATTAAATTTGTCTTCACTGTTTCAATTAAGTAGTATTTTTTTTTTTTTTTTTTTTTTTTTTTTTTTTTTTTTTTTTTTTTTTTTTTTTTTAAATTTTTTTTTTTTTGAAGTAGTACTTTGTTAGTCACATGCATTTTTACTACTGGAACTATTGAGTTGGTGGCATTATTTGGAGTCTCACTTTATGTTGTATTTTCTTTCAGCGGAGTACTGGTATGAGGATGTGCTAGAAGATGAGGTCCCCCAGCTCCCGTTTATTTCACCATGCCCAGGAACGGATTGAAACAAAACGCTTAAATGGGAAATAGGGATGAAAAAAAAAAAATCAAATTTTATCTCCAAAGTTGATATCTGACTAAGCTGTATGTGACTGGTGTACCTAACATCACTGTCTTCTATTTCCTATACTACAGATTCTGTAAGTTATAACAATGGTTTAGATAAGATACAAAATTGTGGCAGTATAGCAGGCACCATTGCTGGATACCAAGATTAGAAGAGAAATAAACCCCAGATCTCAATGGGACCAACAAATGACAATTGTCATTATTATTGCATTGTTTTGTACATTACAATTTTGTTATGAACAAACACATTTATGATAAAGTTAGAAGTTAAAAAGCATAATATCAATTCCATACCATGTATCCGAAATCATATGTACAATTTAAATAAATTTATAAAATTTTATTAGGTGTATTATACTGCTCACTCTGTATCACTCACAAATATGATCAAATCAAACATGGGCACCAAAAATATCTTTCACTGGTCAGAAATCGGTCTTGACACAAGAATCTGATATAATATGCTTAGCACATGTGCGATTAACAAAAATGTATTGCTTCTTAAAAGTAATTTGTTTCTCAAAAAGACTGCACATGTTAAGCCATGATTTACCAGCCCTTTCTCAGGGGATCTAATTCACATCAATAGGAGCTCCAAAAAGCTGTCTTCACACCAAGGAATGAAAAACCTATCTCACTGTGTCATAAAGTTGTGTACTTGTACATCTTCACAAAAACAATTCCTCAAAAACAATTTTTTTAAAGGTCAGCAAAGAAAACAAATCACCTGGGCCCAGTTTTATAAAGGACGTTTAGCACTAACCAGTGGATAAGCCTAACCAGTGGATAAGTTCCCCTAACACCCATTAACTAAAAGATGGTTAAATTGTGTTTCATATACAGTCTTGTAACGGAAAACAGTCAATTAGTTAACTGGCCAGTGTTTGACTGGATTAAATAATTATTTAAAGGTCAGTTTACTAACAGACTATTAAGGTCTGGTTAGAGTTAAACACTGGTTAGTGCTAAACGTCTTTTATAAAACTGGGCCCTGGTGCATGGGCACAAAAAACGGCACCATCTCAAATTCTTAAGTATAAAAGGGGTTGGTTACCTTAAAAATTTAATGTATAAATATGGCCCCATTCAGAATAGTGGACCAACTAGTCCAAAGGTCAAATATGGCGACCCACTTCAAAGCTCTCTGTCTAATCTGCTAATAAACACTGAATAGATATCCCATGGGGAAGTATTGAAGTGGGTCGGCCGTACTTGACCCTCGGACTAATTAGTCACCTATGCTGAATAGCACCTGTAATTTTAGATGATCTTTCAATTATTTAAACAGCAATATGTCTTAATAATTAGTCAGAGTCTTGGAAACTCCCCACGTCAGAACCACCATCATCTTCATCTGATGAAGGTGAGCTGAAGTGTTCAATTGTCTTTAATGCGCTAGCCAACAAATCCACATGAGAGTCACTTGGCGACTGTATCTTTTCTGGCTCCTCTGCTTTGTCCTTTTTTGTACGTCTTAGCTTGACTCCTACCTTTATCAGATTCATCAATTCATCATGGGGGGTACTGGAGTGTGACGCTAGAATTGTAAACATTTTTATCAAAGACAATAACGTCTTAATCTGATGAAATCAAAGTCAGACAAAACTGATATGTTTGTTAATGAGCAGCAATTCTGTTAATACAGAAATTAAATTAATGATATTTCTTTTCTTTCTTTCTTTTTTTTTTTTTTTTGAACATGTGTTTTGTCTGGCTTTGATACCAAGAAGGAACAAGGCAGCAAAGCTGTCAAATGTACAGACAAAAAGCAGGAAATAACTATGCACAAAATAGGCTACTGTCAATTCTGATGCAAAAGTACATTATGTTAAACTGTAAATTCAACATCAAATTTTAATTATGCTCAACAGGTAATACCAATGAAAGTAAAATGTGTAACAAGCATAAGGCTTCAGGCCCATGAGAGTTCAAGTTCACACTTTGAAAATGTATAACTTCCAGAAAAAGAAGCCAATTAGACTGCTTTTCCAACTCAGGCTGCATGCTGATTTTCGAACTCGATTACTCCTGAGAGTTTCACGACAACAGGCCTATCGGTTTTCCTTGAAATGTGTTTACAGTGTTGCATATATGTTGAAAAGTGAAAGAAAAATGCGTAACTTCTACAATAATGGCCCGATCATCCTGATTTTTGAACTTGACCTGCGTTTTATGAATATTCATCAGCTCCTTAAATATAAAGTCCAAAAGTAAAACTGCCTTCCACTTATCGTGTTTACAATGAAAGTGCAAGGTGCCGGCAACAGCGATGACAGACGCAGGTGATGGCAATATGTACAGACACATCTGTACATATTTACTGTACTGTTTGAGAACAGTAAGTGACATGGTTTTTCTTAAATGGTCATCATGGGAGCAGTGCCCAAAATAGGTTTTTTTCAAATTTTGATGCAATATTACATAATGTTTAACAGCATAATGACCATCAATTTTTAAGAATAAAATATTAGTATCATGGATATTCAGAAAATGTGACTAGCAAAGGTCTTCAGGCCCATGGAACTTCAAAGTCACAACTTGAAAATGCCAAAATGTAAACAAGACAGCACTGTTCTGAAATGTTTTTTTTTC